TATGTAGGAAACAACTTTAAAGTTACACAAAATCTTGAAAAATGAGGTAAACAACTTAAAGCAAACAATTAAATGGAAAAAATGAGTGGAAAAAAAAAATTAAGAATCAAAAGACATTTTTATAGAAATTGGATTTTACCATTAAATTCTACACATTTTAAAGTGTAGGAAACAACTTTAAAAAATCAAAAAAACTCGAAATTAATGGCAAAAATAAATTAATTAAAAAAGCGCGTTTAAACACGGATTGCGCGTGTGCTGTGCCGCAGCAAAAGCGCATCAAAACGCGGAAAATGCGGGTTTTTTTATTAAGGCCCTATGAATAAAGAATATAATTCTTGTTATGATAGATACCTGCATAATGTTATTTGTTTGATGAATCTAATACATGATCATCAATGAGAATAAATGTTTAATTATTTAGTTTTGTCTTTTTCTTTCTAAAGAAAAAGGCATGAGAAGTGTTAACTTCTTGCTTACTGCTTATTGGCGGAAATATACAATCAATGAGTTTGTTTGATGTTGACTTTGTCAAAAGTAAGCTACACAAAATGAGGATGATGTTTGCAAGGTAAAGGAATTAGAACCTCAATGGTTCTTTGTTCTGTTTCTCTTGCTCTCGTGATCAAATCAATTGAGACTCACCTAGAGCTCAATGATTGATCACAATCATTAATCATGTTTAAGCTTGTGATTTCAGTGACATCATCTCTTGATTCACAAGCTAAAATCTTGGCTTTCTCTTTTTCTCTTGTGGAACAGTCTAACCCTAGTGCGTGATCAAGATTTAATTGATCAGTGCATTGAAGTCTTCTTTTTCAGGAAGTTTATCAATCAAGTTGATAAACTTACCTGCCATTCTCCTCTTTCAAGGGCTAAGACAAGGAATATTATCCCAACAATTGCCACATCAGTCATAGGCCTCCACTGGCGTGGGCAGATCCACTGCTCACTACCACTCCTGCTGTGGAGGCCTAGTTAAGCTCAAACTTGATGCAAGTCCCGCATGCAGAATTTGGCAGAGGCACCAAAGCAGAAGTGGTGCCTCTTTAATTTGCAGATCAGGGACTTGCACAGAATCTTGAGTTTGCAGTGTGACAGCAGAAAATACATTTGGTGCAAAACGCCTGATTTTGGACCTGCACATCACAACCTGGTATATTCTTGACTTTTTTCAGGGCTGGGATAATGGCCTGATACATCCCAAATTTTCCATCAACTTCATTTTTTGATGATGAAGAGTACTGAAGTGTTTATTTAATTTTTTAAAAATGCAATATTTTTGACTTTTTTTGTATTACATAAGTCAACTTTGAGTCAAAACCCACATCATCAGTGGGCCACTACGCTACAGGCCCATGTAGCGTTAGCGTAGCGGAGCCATTTCTTTCATTTAGTGTTAGCGCACCACTACTGCCGCTGCGCTACGCTAACTTTTAGCGGTGCTAACACTAGGCAATTTTTGGTGTATTGTTAGCGCGCCGCTACGCTGCATTACACTACGCTACAGCGTTTTTAGCGGCAAAAAACGCCTAAAAACCGCTAAAAATTGCTGTAACACAGCGTAGCGGGCGTTTTTTGCACCCTGTGAAAGTAGTGTTAGCGCAGATGGGGGGAATTGCGCTAACGCTACGCTAAACGTTAGCACAAATTTTTCCCCCATGCGCGTAGCGTTAGTGCAGAAATTGAAAAAAGCGCTAATGCTACACTAAATTGCAGCAATTTTTCACTACGCTACAGTTAGCGTAGCTGGCCCACCATTGCCCACGTGCAAATTGAAAAAAGAAGCCATTTTGCTTTGTTTTCTTTTGTAGCTACAAGATCAAGATTACAAGGGTACAGAAAATGGACTAGAACAAAAGATGCAGATCTGAAGAAATAAGTGTTCCATCTGTTGGGATAATGACAAGGCGGGGTGTTCTTTTTTGTCTTCTTTATAAAGTTAATTGGAGTAAATGCAAAATGATGCCATGCACCAATTTTGACTTTGGGCCTAAGCCTCTCTACAAGATTGTTCCCTGTAATACACTTGAAGAGAGGCTGCTTAAGCCTTAAGCTTGAGTTAATCTTGCAGGCCATGTAGCAGGCCTGCTGGACCCCAAATTTCTCTTGTGTCCTGCTAAATACCAACTTGAAAAAGTCCTCCCTATGCGGGAGGTCAGATTTGGGTGGTGCTTAAGTTTGGCTGGTGGTGAAGGGTGAAGCCACCCCTCCTGCAGGGAGGGAATTACAAACTATGCAGGGGGGGGGGGGCTTGCCTGAGCCCACTCACCAAAACAGGCTGAAAATTCACTATTTGAATTTTCCAGTCTGTAGTTTACAAACTGTCTGTCTCAGCTAGCACCAGTTGACTCTTGTGTATCAAGTAAAATTTTAGAACTCATCAGCTTGTTGAAATAACAACCTTTTTATCTTAAGTGGATTTTGAATGGAGTCAAGAAATTATCCATCCTTCTGTGCTTGAGCCTGCAGGCTTGAGCATGAGAACTTTGTGATTCATCTTTCTTCTTTGCTTTATTGTTTGTCAACATTTCTTGCAAAACTGAGTTGGTAGAAGCAAAATTTAGGTTCTAAAAAAGAACTTCCCCAGAAGAAACACAACATTGAGGGAGCTAAAAGTTGTGTAACTTGATGAGGTTTCCAGATCCTCTCAGGCAAGCACCCCCACTTTAGTCATAAGTCCCTCCCTGCAGGAGGGGTGGCTTTGCCACCAGCCAGTGCCTCACATCAGCAAACCTCTCACCCGGGGGGGACCTAGTTAATTAGTTCAAGCATTCACATTTTTTGGGTTAAACTGCCAAATTACGGCAACTTAACCTGACCGGCAGTCGCATTGGCCCTGGGCTAACCTTGAGTTAACAAACCTGAAAGTTGTTTTTAGCCTGTTTCAGGCTGAAAATCTAGCCAGCAAATCTAGCATTTGTTGGCTAGATTTTAAGGTTAACTAAAACTGGGGTCAGCCTGCCAGGTTAACGTCCACTAAATTTAGTGGATGTAAGCCTGAAACAGGCTGAAAACGACTTTCAGGTTGGTTAACTTGAGGTTAGCCCGGGGCCAATGTGACTGCCGATTGGGTTAAGTTGCCGAAAATCAGCAATTTAACCCAACAAATGTGAATGCTCTTAGTTCTAAATCTGGCCAAAAGTTGCCCATTTGCGGCTCTGCTGGAGATGCTCTAAAAGTGGGGGAGTTTTGGTGTGCCGCCCCACACGGTGTAAGACTCAAAAAGTGATTGTAAGATCCTTTTTGCTGAATGGAGAAAGGGATGAATGAGCTGCAAACTCTGCCTTTCTTTATTATAAGAAAACAAGACCACCAAGGTAAGCTTGGCAGTTTGGTTGGTGATAATGGATTAAGTTCAAAGATGGTTGTATAATTGTTGTCCAAAGAATTTATTTAGTTGTGGATGTTGTTTCTTGTGTTGATGTCTCGATACTCGTGTTCTTCCTTGATGCTGTATATGTATAATGTAATAGAGGTGGTTCTTGAACCCAAAGGGTCTGGGAGCACTATGCTTCAACCAGGACTGGAACAAAGGACTGGCTCTTCTGTGTAATGTTTGTGAAATGAACTGTGTATATATTTCAATCTGTGAACTGTACTACTTGTGAACCTCTTGTGTAATAAATATCTGTGACAGGTGTCCCACCAAAAATGTGTACTGAGTGGGATGAGGAGGGAAACAACTGGCAGGCAGAGGCCTCCTTATATAGTAATTTATGAGGGATTTTAGCCTCAAGGGACCCCCTGTATGTGGCATTTTAGCTGCCCTGTACCTGAAAATACTGTGGGATTTTGGCTAGACTATCTACAATGCATCCCTTTTATATGCAAGCTGTAAGAAAGGAATTCATGTGTTCTGTGGCTGAATAAATGGAAATTTAACTGGTACAACTGATGGCCAACTTGTGGTTCTTTAAATATAAAAGGAATTAAATATGAATAAAAGGAATTCAATATACAATATGCAATATACCCCCATGCAATATACCCTCCAGCTGAGTGCCTCTGATCCTGTGATTCTCCGTGTGACATCCTTGATTCTGTGTAACTTCTGATCCAGTAGAGATATGAAGGTGGTTCCAGTGAGTGACTAGCTAGGGGTTAAATTGGCTGTAGATTCCATTTCCGACATCCATTTGTCCATATCTTGAGTCCTTCATTGATAAATAATAAAATTTTGAATTTTTCTCCCTTCATACACAGGAATAATGACCACAGCGGCAGTTGCAAGGTCACCTGAGAGCCTTATGTACAAGTAAGGCATGACCCCAACCCACGGGGTTCAGGGTTTTGCCCAAATCCAAACCCCAAGGTTCAGGACTCGGGATGGTGCTATGCAAAACCCCGGAACCCTGGGGTTTTGAAATATCATAGGGAAACAGTTTATTGGCTTAACAAACGACTCACTTTTCCTGGCTGACAACACCCATAGACTGTCTGTAGATGGTCGTTGCAGTTGGAAGCCAATTATTTCCTCATTCTATGGCCAACTGGGCCCTCCAGCCCATTTTTTTCCCTTTCTATTCTCTGGGAGTCGGCTTATAGGTCTGGGAGTTGCTTGGCTGCTGACCAGCCAAGCAAGAGCTTTCTTGATCTTGGCTGGTTGGTACAGCCAACCAGAACAGTGCTTTCCTCCCTGGCTGGTTGGTACACATACAGCGTGTACCAAACAGCCAAGGAGAGGCACTTCTTGGCTTGTTGGTGCAGACTCACCTACCAGCCAAGATGGATTCTGGAAGATCCTCTTCAACCGGTAAGTGAGTCTGTGGCCAGCTGGGGAGGGTACAGACTGCACTAATCAGCCAAGAATCGTTTTAATTCCTTGGCCAGTTGACCCGTCAAAGAGGATCAACACCGCACCTGAAAAAAAAAATCAGGACCCTGGGGCTCCGGGGTTTGAGCCCTGAATCCCGGGGTCCGTCCCTCGGGATTGGCCTCAAACCCCGTCCCGAACCCCGGGGCCATGCCTTATCAGTACAAGGGAAACCCCAGGACACTGCGGACCGACTGACTGGGAACCATCACGAGTGATACTGAGGGTCTCTTCTGGCTCGTAAACTACTTCGCCATCTTCGATCACAACCGCTATCTTCCTGCAAGAATCCTTCGGCAAAAAAAGTCAGCAAACACACACCGGCCATTCAGTCTCCAGTCAGCCGATCGTCATACACTTTTCCTGGTCTATTCGATCTCAATCTGACGCGTTGCTGAAACAAATAACAGAAGCAAGATGGGAGGTCAGCCTAGTCAAATCTCATCTCCTCTTTCTTGTCAAGTTCCAACGTGTTTACAGTGTTACTGATTCGAGGCGATCACATTTTTTAGACGCAAACAAATCCAACCCTGCTCCTCTCTTTGGCGGATCATCATCCAGTAGGCCTTTGTCAATCTATATGTCATCTAGAAACCTTTTAATTTTTTCATTTTTGTTTCTTCCAGCATCGCTTTTCGGTAGCCAGGCTGGTAAGCCTGCGACTTTCGGCTTTGGCGGGACTAGCCCCTTCGGCGCCTCTCAAGCTGGTAAGCCGTCTTTTCAGATCGTTTGCATTCAGTTATTTCCCCTATCTCCATTGCTAACTTGTTTGGATTGGAATTCCACCTCCCTCACAAGCCACATCGACTACTCCTCAAACAAGTCCAACCAAGTCTTCAACACCATCGTTCAATTTCATTTCTGCCCCCGGCTCGAACAACCCCGGCGGTGCTAGTGGCACCAACGCTCCCACTAGTTCATTGTTTGGGGGAGGAAACACCATTGGCGCTGCTTCCTCGGCTCCAAAATCTATATTCGGCAATCCCAACCCGGCTACCGGGACCACGAGTTCTGCTGCACCTAGCATCTTTGGTGGCAACTCTACCTCTAACACCTCTAATATCTTTGGTGGCAACTCTAGCTCTAACACCTCTAATATCTTTGGTGGCAACTCTAGTAACCCCACTCCCGCGACATCGACCTCTAACTCAAACCAGTCTACTGCTACCCCTGCCCCGGCTTCCAAGCCCAGCCTATTTGGCAATACAACTGGTACCTCTATGACAAGCAGCAACTTGTTCGGAACTCCAGCGGCCAATAGCGGCAGTGCGCCTGCTTCAACTACGACCAGTACAACCTTTGCTTTTGGTGGCCCGCCTGCCAATCAGCCACCAAAAGATGCCAATAAGAGTGAATCCTTGTTTGGTGGACTTCAAACTCCTAAACCAGCTCCATCCACATCACCGAGCTTGTTTGGGGCCAAACCAGCCGATTCTTCAACCTCTAACAATCCACAAGCCTCAGTAAACAATAATGCACCGGCAGCGGGATCAGCCACTCCAGCAACGACGGCTGCCGCGTCACCTTCCTTATTTGCCCCGATCGCTCCTAAACCTAGTTCAACATCCGACTTGCCCGCCAAACCATCCACCCCGAGCCCTTTTGGAAACATGAATAATAGCGCACTAACGATCAAGAGCACCGCCCCAGTCAAATCCTCGCCGCTCGCCATGAACTCCTCGACCACCGGTGAAGGATCCCAGGCCAACAAATCTGCAACCCCTAAGCCTGCCGGTACCCCTCCTGCTACCCCCTCCACTAAGCCTAATATGAACTTGGCACCCTCGTTGCTCAAGGGAAAAACTTTGGAAGATCTGGTGGCTCGTTGGAATTCTGAGTTGGATGAACGCGTCGAGGACTTTAAACACACCGCTAATGAAATCGCTGCCTGGGACCAAGTGCTTATTCAAAATGGGGACCAGGTAAATGGAATTTCGGCTCTTTTGGCAACTTACAGCCCATTTTATTGATATGATCCGCTTTCTTTTTCTCTACCTTGTTTTTTTTTCCCTTTAGATTTCGATGCTATATGATGAGTTACAACAAATAGAGCCGATGCAACAGTCTATCGACCAAACTTTAGACTATGTCGAGACTCAACAACAAGAATTGTCGGTCGCTTTGGACGACTATGAAAGACAACTTTCGGGCAGTCAAGCGCAAGATTTTTCGGCATCATCGACTGGTCGGACGCGTACGGCTGCACAAGAACGAGAAGAAGCCTACAAAACGGCGGAAGAAGTGCACGTTCAATTGAATGATATGGCCTCTTCTCTTGGAACGATGATCGCCGAATTGAATAGTCTAGCTGGACCGGGCAATAGGATTGATGAGTCTAGCTTGGCAGATGGGACGATCTCCTCCGGTTCTTCTTCGAACGAAGATCCGATCGTTCAAATCGCTGGGATTCTGAACGCCCATCTTGGTTCTTTGAATTGGATCGGTGAAATCACCCAGGAACTTGGGGTGAAAGTCAACGAACTCGAATCGCGAGTCTCTAATACTAAGGTCGAATTCGGCTTGGAGCCTAGTCTCAATCATTATCGACAGATCGAGTTCAACTCTGATGAATTCAATCCTAATTTGTCTGCTACCGTTGGCCCTAGTGGAACAAGCCTCAATTCTGGATTTGGCAATAGAATCCCTTCTGGTCTCCTTTCTCATCCTCGAAGATGAGAAAACCAGATTCTTAGCTTTTGTTGTTCAATCTCAATCCATGACTTCACACTTTTCACTTTTCTTGATAGCTACAGTAATTAAAATAACAACATATCTGAAACACTGGCCCTCTTTTCCTCAACTTATTTTTTATTTTTATTTACTTTTATTTTCATTTTATTTCCCCAAAAGACACATATTGTAGCTCCAACAGCTGATCAACAAAAGTAAGTAAGTTATAATCCATCACCTGAACAATGATTGAAATTTGGCAACTATTTTACAAACCAAGGAGTGCCCTTGAACATATGCCTGGGAGAGACTCAAGGATGTTTCATATTGGCATGGACAGTGGGTAGACAGTGAAAAGTGGCTGCCTGTTTTGAATTCTAGAGCTCCAAAACACAGACTTGAAGTCATGAGACTTAGACCATCTCCACTGCGCAGAGTCATCTGAGTTGGTAAATTTACAAACTCAGGGACTGTGGCGGATGGATAGCTAACTTAACTAAGTCCCTCTATGGGAGGGGGGACGACGTCCTGCAGGGACCCTCTGCAGGAGGGACTTATGCGCTACATGGGTGTCAGTGCCTAAGGGGATTAGAAAAAAGACACCAATTTTTTGATCTAGTCTCCTGCCTCCACCTGTTGATTTTGGAGTGCCAAGTCACCCAAAAACAGAAAGGGCTTGTCCAGGAGAACATTTTGATGTCATTCTTGGGGTTGTGAGGTCTCTCCCCTCTTGTCCATATGCCCTTTTTTGTTTGCATCACTCATAAGGAGTTTCTAGCAACCTCCTTTATTCGCTGCCACACGTCTTATACAGGCACCTGGTGATCAAATACACTATGCTATGCAAATATCAAGATGGGCCGCATAATGTGATACATAACGGTCATATGCCCTGACCGGACGCTTTGGTGAGCTGATATTATCGATTGTTTTGGCTAGCTACAATGACACTCCTCGAATTGGTACTGGCAAAGCCAAAGCTGCACAACCGGCTCCCTGAAGGTTTGGCCGAGTTGGACAAGGCTTTGTTATCAGCACATATCACCACTCATTTGGTTGATTTGTGCGGGGACCAGCCCAAAGACCTCCAGGTGGAGGCTGTTTTGTGGCTGGTTTGAGGGAGGCATACCTCTGTTTGTGCTGGAACTGGCTTTGGCAAGACAAGAATATCCAAAATGTATTTTGGGTTATTTGACAGGAAGGTCGTTGTTCTGGTTTTGGTCCTGTTGGATTCATTAGGGGATGGCCAGGTAGGCAGTTGGTCTGGGATTGTGTGGTAGTGCTGGCATGTGAAGACTAATATAATATGTATCTGATGCTTCTGTCTAGGTCCAAGAGAAGAAGCCAGTCAAAATCTCCACAAAAAAATTGAATAAGATGACTTTTAACCGTGAATCAATTGGCAAGATCAAGCAAGGCAAATTCAGCTTTGTCTATCTGGTCAGTCAATTGGCCTATAGTGCATTCAAACAGGGGACTGATGGTCATGGGCCTGTTCAGAGCCCTGAGGTCTTTCTCAACAGTTTGCTGTTTACAGAGCTTTTCTCTAGTGATGCATTTCAGGCTATCCTGGCCTTAATTGTGGTGGACGAGGCACATATGGTCTACTTGTGGGGCCTCGTGGCTTCAAAACAAAGCAAGACACTTATCATCTTTGCGTGTCTGGAAGACCAAGCAATATTCTGGCCGGCTTACGGACATATAGGAACTCGCTTGATGGCTACCGACAATATCCCACTGCTCCTCCTCTTTGCCACCTGCCGCCCGGAGGCAGTCTCCGCAATCACGACAAGCTTGATGCTGCAACCAAGCGAGCTCTCCATGATTGACGGTGAGCTGACACGCTCGGAAATTTGGTTTATTTGCATCTATATGGACTCAACGCTCAGCTTGTGTGATGATCTGTTGAGGATCTTTGCGCCTCACACTACTACTCCTGCGCACTTGGCCATCCCAACAATCATATACTCAGGCACACGGAATCAAACTTTTCAAGTCATGAAGGTGGTGAACAAGGCCCAGCATACCAAGTGGCATGAATACGACCCACAAAATGGGTTCATCAGATGATATCATGCTGTGACCAGTGATGATGAAAAAGAGCGGGCCATAGGCAACTTCGATCAGGTGGCCTTGCCGGTGATATCTGCAACCATGGCTCTGGGCCTAGTTCAGAATCTCAAGCGTGTGAGATGTGTCATTCAAATGGGCCAAGGTGATCCGGAAGCAATAGTTCAGATGGTCGGGTGTTGTGGTCGAGATGGGAATGTGGGGCTGGGGTTGCTATTCATGGAGCGCATGCGCAAGAACGGGAAGAACAATCTCAGTGATTTCCCTATTGGGGCCTATCAGGATGCACTGGCCGTGACACAGTGCTGCTTGAGGATTGCACTCACTTTGGATAACAAGTGAGCTGCTGTATTTGTCCGATTTGCCGGGTTTGTTTGTGGATACTGACTAGGCTCAAAAGGTTGGGTTGAATTCCCCTCTTGAATGAAGAGCCACAGGTCCAGGCTGAGCGGGCGCGGGAAGTAAAGCTGGGCTTTGCAAAGTGTAAATGTTTGAATTGCTTGCCTGCTGAGGCAGAAGCACTGATGAGGGTCATCCAACAGGCCAATGTTGATAACTTTGATGCTCTCCTGGCCAACCCGTCAGCGATTACAAAGGACCCAAATCTCCTGAAAATGACTCGCAAGCGGAATAAGACAACCCCCAAGGGGACGTTGTCCTATCCCTCGGCTGTAGCCCAGGATCTTGTTCATCATCTGGTCCACAGCTTTGAGGTGTTCTACGGTGAGCTCTTGGGGCCCCAGGCTAAATTCCCTGCGGCAGCCTTCTTTGGTGTTGAACAAGCGACAATCATTGTTGGATCTATGGACCAGATTTGCTCCAGAGGTTCTCAGAACATGGGACTCATGGGAGTTCAATGTTTCCCTGGCCAGCTGGAGTCACTCAATAATGCCATCATACAGTGGATGGCAAGCAAGGTTTACTTGTCACACCTCCTCCAAACGGCCAATCTCACTCGGTTCATCAAATCAGAAGGCCTACAAGTCCAAGAGGCAATGGCGGCCAAGCCAGCGGCACTTCAATCACAGGCCAAAGCCAGGCGACAAGCCAAAAAAAACTGCCAAAGTAGCGGCCAGGGGCCTCGTGGCTTCAAAACAAAGCAAGACACTTATCATCTTTGCGTGTCTGGAAGACCAAGCAATATTCTGGCCGGCTTACGGACATATAGGAACTCGCTTGATGGCTACCGACAATATCCCACTGCTCCTCCTCTTTGCCACCTGCCGCCCGGAGGCAGTCTCCGCAATCACCAGAAGCTTGATGCTGCAACCAAGCGAGCTCTCCATGATTGACGGTGAGCTGACACGCTCGGAAATTTGGTTTATTTGCATCTATATGGACTCAACGCTCAGCTTGTGTGATGATCTGTTGAGGATCTTTGCGCCTCACACTACTACTCCTGCGCACTTGGCCATCCCAACAATCATATACTCAGGCACACGGAATCAAACTTTTCAAGTCATGAAGGTGGTGAACAAGGCCCAGCATACCAAGTGGCATGAATACAACCCACAAAATGGGTTCATCAGATGATATCATGCTGTGACCAGTGATGATGAAAAAGAGCGGGCCATAGGCGACTTCGGACAGGCGGCCTTGCCGGTGATATCTGCAACCATGGCTCTGGGCCCAGTTCAGAATCTCAAGTGTGTGAGATGAGTCATTCACATGGGCCGAGGTGATCCAGCAGCAATAGTTCAGATGGTTAGATGTTGTGGTCAAGATGGGAATGTGGGGCTTGGGTTGCTATTCATGGAGCGCATGCACAAGAACGGGAAGAACAATCTCAGTGATTTTCCTATTGGGGCCTATCAGGACGACAATACACGCATGGATGCACTGGCCTTCACGCAGTGCTGCTTGAGGATTGCACTCACTTTGGATAACAAGTGAGCTGCTGTATTTGTCTGATTTGCCAGGTTTGTTTGTGGATACTGACTAGGCTCAAAAGGTTGGGTTGAATTCCCCTCTTGAATGAAGAGCCACAGGTCCAGGCTGAGCGGGCGCGGGAAGTAAAGCTGGGCTTTGCAAAGTGTAAATGTTTGAATTGCTTGCCTGCTGAGGCAGAAGCACTGATGAGGGTCATCCAACAGGCCAATGTTGATAACTTTGATGCTCTCCTGGCCAACCCGTCAGCGATTACAAAGGACCCAAATCTCCTGACAATGACTCGCAAGCGGAATAAGACAACCCCCAAGGGGACGTTGTCCTATCCCTCGGCTGTAGCCCAGGATCTTGTTCATCATCTGGTCCACAGCTTTGAGGTGTTCTACGGTGAGCTCTTGGGCCCCAGGCTAAATTCCCTGTGGCAGCCTTCTTCGGTGTTGAACAAGCGACAATCATTGTTGGATCTATGGACCAGATTTGCTCCAGAGGTTCTCAGAACATGGGACTCATGGAGTTGCTCATGGGAGTTCAATGTTTCCCTGGCCAGCTGGAGTCACTCAATAATGCCATCATACAGTGGATGGCAAGCAAGGTTTACTTGTCACACCTCCTCCAAACGGCCAATCTCACTCGGTTCATCAAATCAGAAGGCCTACAAGTCCAAGAGGCAATGGCGGCCAAGCCAGCGGCACTTCAATCACAGGCCAAAGCCAGGTGACAAGCCAAAAAAACTGCCAAAGTAGCGGCCAAGGCTGCTGCCAAGGACGACTCATCCAAGCTCAAGGCTGCCAAGCGGTTGGCAGTTGCAGAAAACAAGGCCCGAGAGAAGCTCCTGTTGGCAGCTGAGAAGGCGGCCGAGAGGAAGCGGCAGGCAGATGAGAAGCAGGCGGCTTGCAAGCGAGCAGCCAAGAAGGCAAGTCAGATCTTGTCAACCCCCAAGGGGCAAGGAACTTGGTTGGGTCAGAACCCTGAGGTGCAGGGGCCGGTGGGTTGGCTTGGTCACAATTAGGTGATGACTTTTCTGATACGGGTGGGGACCCATTGCAGGGAGACACAGCCGAATCACCACATATGAATAGAAAAACGCAGGAAAAAAAACAAAACAAAGAGAAGGCACAGGCTGCAGAGGCCAACAGGATGGATGAAATGGAAAAAAGACAAGCTTGGGCCAATAGAAGATCAAATGTCAAATAAAATCGTGTTGCCAAGGCAGTCTCCAAGGCTGAGGGGATCTGTCAGCCACAAAGTACATGTCGCAGTACCTATCATGTACCAAGTAACTGCAACACCTGTACTTACTTACATAAGTACATATCCATAATGTTGTTTACCTTTACCTCTTGTTATCTTATCATTATTATTAACTTATCTTATTTATCTTATATTTATCTTATCAGTTAATTACTTATCCATTAAATACATATCTGTTTTATACATAAGTAATTATCACTTACCTTTCACTCCTTTGTCCGTGAAATACCTGTACCACAAGTTATCCCTGTTCTACAGTATTTTCACGGTCAAATATCATTACAAATAAATAGGGACTTAGTCAAACGACTCCCAAAATTTGGAGTTCCAACTCCCAAATTTTGGGGACGTCCTGAGGACTGTCTGCGGACGGTCCTCCGGACGTCAGGCCCCCAAATTTTCCCCCCCCCCCGTTTTTTGGAAGTCGGACCTCCAAACCCTTTGATTGGTTTGGGAGTCGACTCCCTAATAAAATAATACTTATTATTATTATTTTTTCGAACCCCCTTGGGGGTTTTTGGGAGTCGATACTCCAAAACCCCATGGGGGTTTGGAGTCGGCGCTAAAAAAAAAAGAAAAGGAACGGCCGGGAGAATTTCTCCCGGCCGTTGACAGGCTGCACTCTCAACGGCCGGGACAATTCCTCCCGGCTGTTGAGAGGTTACACTCTCGGCGGCCAAGAGAAACCCTCTTGGCCGTTGAGAGGTTACACTCTCACCGGCTGAGAGGGATCCTCTTGGCTGTTGAGAAGTTACACTCTCAGAGGCCGAGAGAAACCCTCTCGGCCGTTGAGAGGTTACACTCTGACCGGCTGAGAGGGATCCTCTCAGCTGTTGAGAGGTTACACTCTCAGCTCACCGGCCGAGAGGGTTTCTCTCGGCCGCCAAGAGTGTAACCTCATCACGCACAGCCGAGAGGGTTTCTCTTGGCCGCTGAGA